GTTGTCAGGGAAACTGTAAACATCCTGTAACCACGGGCAGAACTTCCTGTGATGATCCGATCAGAGCTGAAACAGCCTTTAGGAGACCCAGTACCAAAAGCCTGATAGAGGGACAAAAACTGTACAACATACTCAAAGTCCAACATTTTCAGTGCTGTACATTGACTTTAGTGTACAAAAAAAAACGCTCCTTAAGCACTTTCTGAGCTGATGAACGACAGTTCACACAACCACCCTCCAGATATCAGTAATCCGTGCGTACGAATTGCAGAAACTGTGAGCACAGTTTAGTAATCCGTGCGCTTAGTTTAGTAATCCATTCGCTCAATTTAGTAATCCGTGTGCTCAGTTTAGTAATCCGCTCAGTTTAGTAATCCGTGTGCTCAGTTTAGTAATCCGTGCGCACAGTTTAGCAATCCGTGCGCTCAGTTTAGTAATCCGTGCGCACAGTTTAATAATCCGTTCGCTTAGTTTAGCAATCCATGCACACGGATTTCCAGCGGCTGTTTTTTTTCTCCCACTGACCCMCGGCGRGCTCCGTAAAAATTAAACGAGTGACGTCTGTTTCTGACTTACGAACGCTTCCTCAGAGGTGTACTGTTCAGGGATGGGGAAGTAATGGTTGATGAGTTTGGACCGGTCCGTCTCCAGCTCGATGGCGGTCCACATCGCTGAGTTGAGGTCGGCGAAGTTGTGGTTCATGTCGATGCCTTCGTAGCTGTAGCGCCCCAGCGCCCAGCCTGCCAGCTCTGAGCCCTGCGGATGAAAGGAAGAGAGGAGTTTGTTTGTTTTCTCCGCTCCGAAGCGGTCCCCGAGGGTCTTGTGGGGTTCTGGAACCTTCTTGAAGGCCATCTCGTATCCATCGGGGTTCATGGAGGGCAGCAGGTGGATGCGAGTCTCTTTGACCAGGCGGACGACTCGCTGGTTTCCTCGCCTGTACTCCTGGCACAGATACTGCATCAGGTTGAGCAGGAGCTCCCGRCCCAGCACCTCGTTCCCGTGCATCCCTGCGACGTATCGAAACTCCGGTTCTCCTGCAGGGGGGCGGAGTCAGAACACACATGAGACAGATCAATACCTCCACCTCTCCAACAGGGGCGGAGCTAGACCGTTTTGTAAGGGGTGCTACAGGGGGGGCCACATACAAATAAAGAAAAGCACTCTGGATATGAAAATTCAAGATGGYCGCCACAGCTAATTCCAAATAATTCAGCTGTTTTAAAATAAACATTGAGCTGAAATTTTAGGATCACAGCTAAGAGTGATCCAATGCTGGTCCCAACTTATTATTCAGCGATTTTTCAACAAAAAAAAGCTCAGGATTTGTGTAAACACGGCTGAAAACAAACTATTAAATCCTAAATGCTGATGAAAAAAATTCAAGATGACTTTAACAGACTAAAATTCAGCCATTTGAAGACTTATAGAGAAGAAATTGGTGGTGGAGCAGCCAAGAATGATCACATGCCAAATGCTGATGCTAATGCTATATTAAGCTAACTGCTAATGCTGTAGGTGCATGTTTATTTCATGTGTTTTTTTCCTGGCGAAAATATTATTTAAAAATATGCCAATGCAAATGACAAAAATATGAAAAACACAACTGCTAGAAATTTTTAAATGTTTATATCGCCATATTTTTTATTTAAAACGTATTCTTTTCTCTCACTTCGTCCGACATTACAAGCATAAAAAAATCTCCGGTTGGGCCGCAATGCATTATGGGATATGTTGGGCCAGAAAGGATCCATTGGACCAGTCCTTCAATTCGGGCCAAAGGAAGGACGCATTTGTCTATTGACTTGTCCTGCTGCCCTCATAAATGTCCTGCTGTCCTCATAAGTGTCCTGCTGTCCTCATAAGTGTCCTGCTGTCCTCATAAATGTCCCACAACACCACAGCTCCTCAGCTCGTTCTAAATCCAGGAGGAAGTTCTTTCTGACCCTCTCTGTTCGTCTCCATCATCATCCTCAAACCAAAGATGGCGTCTATGGTTTTCTTTTCCATTATTTGATAGGTAATGAAATTAACAGTTTAATGAAAGTAGAATAAAATAAAGTTTARTAATTTTAATTGCTTGCTTTGAAAAAGCCCATTCTTTAAGGTTAGTGGTAGGATTGTGACTAATCTTAATCTGTGAGAAGAACTGATGTCTGAACTCAGATCCAGCTGAGGTCCTGAGTATTTTCCAGCCTCGCTCTGCTCGTCACTGCTGTGTTTTTGGCGGGAACATATCTTCACTTCTCTGCCATGTGGGCGGAGCTCCAGGGGCCAAAGAAAACATTTGTAGACCTCAGAGCAAACAGAGGAACTCTGTGCTGCTTTGGGTTTACCAGACTCTGTTTGAGTGACACAAACACATCTACTGCACAGATCCCCTCTGACCTTTGACCCCTGACACCGCTGTGTGAACGGAGAGTATCTGAGGTCAACCAGGGCTGTAAAACTCACCCAGYTCATGTTTTCCTGGGTGATCTGAGATCTCCATGACGTAGAGCTTCAGACCYGTGTAGCTCTTCCCGATGCTGTAGATACGAGTGATGTTGGGACACTCCTCATTCACCAACTTCATCAGCTGGATAGAAAACATACATTTCATTATTTATATCTTGATGTTAAATACTTTTAAATCCTTATAATAAAAAAAGTTTTCCTGCTTCTTCCTGTTTTTTTTTTCTCCACAAACCTTTTTCAAAATCGCGGCAAGATGTTTGGATGTCCTTTGTGTTTTTTTTAGCAAAATAAAACAAGTTGATTTTCTACGTTCAGCTTCGGTGTTGCAGAGAAATTTTAAAATAATTCTCACTGATGAAGGATTTGCTGTAAACTTAGTTTTATTTGATTTTCAGTTGTTATTTGGATTGAAAATTAAAGAGAAAAAACATTAAAACGGAACAAAAAAAGCTAAAAATGGATGTGTTTTTGTAGGTTTTCGGATCTGCGATTCAGGGGCGGAGCCACAGGGGTGCCTCCCACAGCACCTGATTGGCCACTCCAGGTGCCGCCCCCAAATGATTGACAAGTGGGGGTGAGGATCCCATTTAGCAATAAAAGATGGTCCGTTAGAGAAAAAACAAAGTGTCTAATCCACCTGTCATGCAGGTGGATTATCTTGTGTAGAGGGAACCTACTAGTGTGTGAAGGAAAAAAAAACTTTTCTAAACAAATGAATCGGCCAATTTACATGAAAATTTCTGCTCAATGTGTACAAAAATAGCTGAATTGCAGCCAGTTGAATTTAGCTTTGGTGGAATTATTTTATTTGATTTTAGAATCTATCAGTCATCACTCTCAGCTACCACCAAACTAAATTTCATCTAAATATCTTTAAAGGGTTAAAACTGAGATTTCAAAATGACATGGGGATAGCTTTTGGCTACTACTTTACTAAATTTACTGAAATTAGTTTTGGCGGCCATCTTGGATTTTGTATTTACATTCAGATTTAGTTAAAGCTTCTACTACTATATAAATTTTCAGTTGTGTATTCAATGGCTGAAATATAGCCCTTTAGCGGTTAGCTTAAATTGGAACTAGCAATCATTGGCTGYGTCTCAATTCATGGGTTGCAGTTGACGTGGGGCACATTTGTCCCTGAAAAAAACCTGAAAACWTGAGTATCCTACACGGCCGACAGTATCCCAGAATTAATTGTGTTGTCAATAAATTAAACAGGAAAACAAACACGGCACAGTTTTTTTATTCTTTATTTATGGCGGCATTTTTGAGGGGGTTTACGGCGGACTTTAGAAATTTAGTGAGATTTATTCATTTCGTTTTAAAAACAAAAAATATAAATTAAATAAAATGAAAGGCAGTAGATGAATAAAATAATCTTACATTATAGAAAAAAATCTTATAATATGGACTGAAAAATGTAAGTTTAGCAACTTAGCTGAGGAACGTTTTGTTTAATAAGACACACGGTTACAAGTACTGATACTAGAGCTAAACTCAAATTATTAAATCGTTTTATATATTTATTTGTAACGTTTTTCTACTAAAACTGAATTTTGTGAAGTTAAACCTTGAAAAAACAACTGAAGCGATGTGATATAAAACGTCCTCCGTAGACGAGACCCTCTCATTTCACAGCCGTTTATGCAGCCGACASGAGCGACCTACGGCCCACGTCGACTGYGGTCRATGGGGGGCACGGTCTACGTCGGCTGCAATTATTATGCTATTATTATAGCTACTAACACACTTTTCACTACGTTTAACCACTAATTAGCTTTGTGGTGTTTTTATTTTTTAGCTAACCTTTTGCTTCTTTAGCTTCCAGCTAGACTTTGGATGCTTTGAGCAATATTTAGCCTTTGGTTACTTTTAGCTTTCAGGCATTTTTTGCTTTTTCATCTCTCAGCACACCTTTTCTTATTTTCAGCTTTAACTCCAATGTAGCTACTTTTATCTAAGCTTTTGCTACATTTAGCTTTTAGCTAGCCTTTTTTTTAACTTTTGGCTTTTAATCAGTCTTTTGCTACGTTTAGTTTCTATAAACTATATAGCTATAAACTATAGCTTCTTTAGCTCCTAGCTAGTCTTTTGCTAATTTTAGCATTCAGGAATCCTTTAAGCATTCTTACTTTTAACTATTAACACACTTTTCACTACTAGCTAGCTTCATGATACCTGTCTTTTAGCTGACCTCTTGCTTCTTTAGCTTTGCTTTCAGGCATCCTTTTGCTATTATTTTTAGCTTTCAGCACATATTTTGTTATTTCAGCCAGCATTTCACCTTTTTTAGCTACTAGCTAACTGTTTAAAACTAGCCTTTTGCTAATTTTGCATAGCCTTCAGCTGCATTTGGTTTCAACTACAATTTTTGATTCATTAGCATTTCACTAGCTTTGTTTACTTTTACCTTGCCCATTGCTACTTTAAGAGATTAGCTAACTTTTTGCTATGCTAGCTTCGACTTTGCTTTCTGACTTGAGACACAGCCGTTCTTGGCTACACCACATATTTCAACTCAATTAGTCTTAAAATAGCTGAAATATAGTCACTTAAATTTAGCTGTGGTGGACATCTAAAATTTTCAAATCCAAGGCAGTTTTATTTATTTAAATGTGCCCCCCCTAGAAAACATCTTGACCACCTCTGTGCCACCCTTTGCAAAAAAAAGTCTAGCTCCGCCCCTGCTGTGATTGTTTCTGGTTTCTGAGGCTCAGCCTGTGCAAACAGGATAGTGATGAAAAACCCAAAACCTGCTGCAGTGTTTGCTTTTGGTCAGACTGAGACCACACACACACCTCTCACACACTCTGTGGAGGATTTTACAAAACCACCACCAGGCAGCCTCCCCAGCAGCAGACTAGAGTTTATACAGGAAAACAACAGTTCTGTACTTTTCTCATCTCCTTATAGTTGTGATGCCTGAAGTCCAGTTTGTCTTCAGAACCTGTTGGCTCGACCTGCCATGGATACATGTTAGGATCTGTGGAAAGAACAAGAGGAAGGTTGTAGCACAAACAGAGTAAACACAGATAAAACAACCGATTCATTAGTTTTTAATACCAGGAAGCGGACAGCCCAACACCTCAGCTCTCAGACAGATGTCCCCCTGTGTCCCGTTCTGGTACCAGCTCTGTGGGTTGATCCGAATGTAGCGCGCCACAGTGGGAGCGCTGAACAGGGCCAGGACAGGAGTCTCTGCGTCCTGGTTTCCTTCAAATACCTGCAGCACACAGAGACACGCTGAGTGTTTTACAACCTGAACACTGAACAGAAAAAAGTGTTTAAAAGAAGTGAAATAATGGCTCACAGCCTCTTCGCTCCCGTTCATGCACGGCTTCCACAGCAGAGTGTCGTTACTGAACTGAACCTTGTAGGTGTGGACCACATCCCAGCTGTGCAGAAAAAACACACACGTCTCATGAACACAGAACACACAGGAGCACTTTGTAGAAAGTAAAAAACATAAAGTTACAGCAGATTGTAGTTTATTGTTAGTTTACTTCTGCACACTAAGTNCAGAGAGGCTAGTGATTAGCATGGATAAGCTGGTGTTAGCATCAGAGAGGCTAGTGATTAGCATGGATAAGCTGGCATTACCATTGAAGAGGCTAGCGACTAGCCTGCAAGGAAAGCCAATCAAACAAATCGAATGGTGGAAATGATCGATTGAATCAAATTTTTGAAGACTTCCTTTGCAAACATGATGAAGGACAACGAACTGTCTAACCACATTCCCAAGTATTTGTAATCTGTAACCTGTTCAAGGATTGTTCCATCTGTTGTAGTGAAGACCAAGTTGGGGGTATTTACATTTTTCTTACAGTTAAACCATAGAACTTTTGTTTTCTTAGCATTCAAGGATAATTCCACATTTGCAAAAGCATTTTGAACATCCAAAATGTTTTGTTTTAGTGACTGGAATACTGTTTCAGGGGATGGACCAATAGCATACAAAATAGTGTCTTCAGCGTACAAATGTACAGTTGTGGAACGTCATTAATATAAACAGTGTGGAGCCAAGGATGCAACCCTGTGGCACACCTTTGGAAACACAAAGAAATGGAGAATATTCTGAGTCTATATTCATGTACTAGTCATGTTTCCTACCAACACTGACCTCCAGATGGAGTTGCGTCCTTGCAGGATCACGCCTGTGAAGCGAGTCAGTCTCTGAGCGTCGACCTCCAGCCACTGATTCTTGTCTCTGAACCGAGCGCACCAGGCTCCGTCATAAATATCTCCATCCTCTGTTCCAGACTGAAAAGAACGTAACATTAAGCAGCAGATGTGGAACAGGACGGATAAAACAAACGTTTCTGGTCTGTTGGGGTACCTGGATGTTGAGCCGACCTCGGTGAGGCCCCAGACCTCTGCGTTTGTAAGACGAAGCCTTCAGTTGGGTGTCTTTCACCTTCAGGGACTCCAGACCCAGAGGGGGGCATTCTGACAGTCAACAGATCATCTGAATTTAAATTTMATTATCTTATCACAACAGGAGAGGGGTTAATAACATTCTAAGTTTCTCAGATTGTTTGATGCACATGCAGTTAAAACAACTAATAGGCCTAAGGCATGAAAAATTAAAGCTAAAGGTTTGTACTGCTTTGTTAATGCAGCCAAGAAAAAAAGCAAGAGGAGTGGACTTCCTGCAAGTCCAGACCAAGTGATRCTCAGAGAAATGACAAAAATCCATGATTGTTACATCTCAGACCAATACAAATACAATTTAAAAAAAGGAATTAAAAAAACTATCTGAGGTGGTTTTGGGTTTATTTTAGGATCTGTTAAATGGTAAAATATTTTCCCATGCATAATTATGTTATCTCGAGAAAACCACGTTTTATCAAGATAAATTATTTCCAAATGGTTCTTTGGAGATGAATTATTTTACTGATGATTTTCTCGAGATAACGAGTGAACTTCCCGATTATTTTTCCAGAGACGAGTGAATTTCCTGATGGTTTTCTGGAGATAACGAGTTGTTTTACCAATGGTTTTCCAGAGATGAGTTAATTTACCGATGGTTTTCTGGAGATAAGTTAATTTACCAATGCTTTTCTGGAGATAACGAGTTGTTTTACCAATGGTTTTCCAGAGATAAGTTAATTTACCAATGGTTTTCTGGAGATTACGAGTTATTTTACCAGTGATTTTCCAGAGATAAGTTAATTTACCGATGGTTTTCTGGAGATAGAGTTATTTTACCAATGGCTTTCCAGAGATGAGTTAATTTACTGATGTTTTCCGGAGATAAGTTAATTTACCAATGGTTTTCTGGAGATAACGAGTTATTTTACCAATGATTTTCCAGAGATAAGTTAATTTACCGATGGTTTTCTGGAGATAGAGTTATTTTACCAATGGCTTTCCAGAGATGAGTTAATTTACTGATGTTTTCCGGAGATAAGTTAATTTACCAATGGTTTTCTGGAGATAACGAGTTATTTTACCAATGATTTTCCAGAGATAAGTTAATTTACCGATGGTTTCCTGGAGATAACGAGTTATTTTACCAATGGTTTTCCAGAGATAAGTTYATTTACCAATGGTTTTCTGGAGATAAGTTAATTTACCAATGGTTTTCTGGAGATACCGAGTTAATTTACTGATGTTTTTCCAGAGATAAGTTAATTTACCGATAGTTTTCTGGAGACAACAAGTTAATTTACCAATGGTTTTAAGGAGATAAGTTAATTTATGGTTTTCTTGAGGAAAAATCTTGTTATCTCAAGAATACGGTCATCAAAATTTTGTGATAATGACATAAGTAAATCGTTTTTCTAAGAAAACCATGGGAAAAATTATGTGGAAAACGTCTGCTCTCAGCTTCAGTATACAACCCAAGACGATTTTTTTAGACCAAAAAAATGAAAATTAAATGTGACAAAACATGTTGGAAAAAAAAGAAATCAATTACAAAAGAAACAGAACATTTGATGCAACTAAAAAATTATTATTAAGGTGAGGAAATCTGATCTGATCATTTGTGGTGAATAGATTAAACTGAGCCTAAAGAAGCAGAAACTGGACTGTCTGGAAGCTGCTGGTTCAGCTCAAAGTGCTTCTTAACAAGAAGGTTTTTAAAAATAAATAGAAAGCAGAAACTTATGAAAATCTTTTCACCATTTTGCCTTGTAGTCCCACAGAACCTTCTCAGTTGCTTGTGACTGAAAAAGTCTTTGGTGCTGCTGACCTCTGGACTCGAGCCAAACCCCAAATTTCTCCTGAAACCACTGAAGCTGAGCCAGAGGGAGCTGGCAGAACGTCAACAATGTCCAACCGGGGGGAAAATGTTTAATTATTACTCAGCTAAAGCAGTCCCAAACTCAGCTGATCAACCAGACAAATACAGGAGAGGAAATGAGACATGGGATCATTGTCCTCTTCAAATCTGTAGGAAAACTGTCCAGGAAGCAGCTCTGAACAGTTCGTTTAGAAAAGAACAAGCTCTCAATGAAAYGAGGAAAGTCAGTTTCATTACTGAGAAGTTCAATGAAGCAGAGCATCCCAGAGGAAAACACAAAATCTTTGTTTCTCCTTTAATGAGACGCAGGAGAAGCTCCGGATGCTGCCGGTCTTTTCATTAACGTTTATCAGAGTAAAGTTTGTGTTTTCCTTTACAACAGCACATCTCACATCAGACAGAAACGTTAAGAGCCGACTCAGCAAACACCCTTTTGTTGCTTTTTTTTGTGTTGTTTTGATGAGAATTCAGCGTCCAAATTTCTACTGAAAGCATTTCATGTTGATGGACGWGGCGATAAAACGCTCCCTGCTTCCTGCTGAATCATCCAGAGAAGAAACTCAAAACAACAAAAGCAACAAAATCTGCAGTATTTGCCYGTGAAACCTGCCTCTGATCGACCTCAAATACGTACGTGGAACCGTTTCTCTGGATGCTGATTGGCTCACACCTTTTTTCACCTGAGGTTTTGTTTTTAGAACAATCTTTGTCTTCCGTCTGAGGATCTTTGCTTTCTTCTGAAACGTTTTAGACTTCTTTGCTACATTAACGCTCCGTCTGAATCTCCTCGCTATAAAAATAAAAAGGTAAAACATTTTTTACGCAGAGTTAAACAGAATATTTCTAAATAAAACATGTATTAAATGCATTAAACTCCGAATAATTAAATGCATTTTGTGTATTCATACACTTCTTAAAATTAAATGACAATAAGTTTGTTTTGGGGAACCTCAGGGTACAGTCCACAGTCCCCTGGGGTTCCTGGCAGTTTCCTCCAGCTTGAGAAACTCTGTGATAGAGCTTTAAGCAGCATCCCACACAACACACAGGTGTGGGCCAGACCTGGTACTGCTGGCATTGCAAGGGGTTTGTCAAACGGATATGGGCCAGGTCTGGCAATGATGGCACTGTTTATATGATGGCATTCCACAACTGGCCCAACTGTGGTTTGGTTTATGTGCACCAGTTCTGTCAATGCCACCACTGACCCAGTGGTGTTTTGGTTTATGTGGTGCTGGCCCAGTCACAAACCACCTCTGGAAATCTACATCTGGACCACCAAAGGGTCATCATCCTTGGCTGTATCTGGACAGAGTATTTTGTTGGCCAGATCTAGTACTGCTGGCATTGCAAGTGGTTTGTCAAACAGATGTAGGCCAGGTCTGGCAATGACAGCACTGTTTATACAATGGTATTCCAAAACTGGCCCACCTGTGATTTGATTTTTGTAGTACTAGCCCATTCATGGATCACCTCTGACAATCTACATCTGGGCCACCAAAGGGCCATCACCCTTTATAGTATCTGGACCAGGTGTTAGAGGGTTTTGTGGGCCATATCTAGTACTGCTGGCATTGCAAGTTGTTTGTCAACTGGATGTGGGCCATGTCTGGCAATGATGGCACTTTTTATGTAATGGCATTCCATAACTGGCCCACCTGTTGTTTGGTTTATGTGGTGGGCCAATATTGTCAATGCCACCACTGGCCCAGTTAAGTTTGGTTTATGTGGTGCTGGCCCATTCATGGACCACTTCTGACAATCTACAACTGGGCCACCAAAGGGCCATCATTCTTTGCAGTATCTGGGCCAGGTGTTGGAGTTTTTGTGGGACAGATCTAGTACTGTGGGCTCTCCAAGTGGTGTGTCAAACAGATGTAGGCCAGGTCTGGCAATTATGGCACTTTTTATACGAGAGTATTCCAAAACTGGCCCAACTGTGGTTGGTTTATGTGACACTGGCACCATTCATAGACCACCTCTGGCAATCTACATCTGCACCACCAAAGGGTCATCATCTTTTGTGGTATCTCGGCCGAGTGTTGTGTGGGCCAGGTCTGGCAACGATGGCACAGATTATATACAGAACCAGACCTGGGTTTAATGCAGTAGTGGCCCCTGAGGACCAAAAGATGACGACTATGCACATTTGATTTTCAGTCTTTGAGCTCAGAGCTAGTGATGATGGTTTGAACCGTAGATGACGGGACATTCAAAGCCTTTCTAATTTTCTGTTGAACTTTATTTTGAAATTACTTTTTTTTTCACAGAATAAACTTTAAAAAGCTCTTTTGATGCTCAGCTGTTGCCAATAATTTAATTAGCTGTAAAATGCTTTTCCAGACGTTTCTTATTTATACAACTTTTACAACCTTTGGTCCGAACTTTTTGATTTGTGTTGCTGCAATAAAATTCAAAATCACCCCATCAAAATAAAACGCATGTCCCAAATTGGAGTTGTAATTTGACACGGTTTCCTGTCACAATGTGGCAGAAGGAAATTGTAATTTGTCTTTTGTTTCTGTTCTGAGCCATCACACAGACCATCTGGGTTTCATCAACATCACCCCCCACCTCACCCCCCCAGACACTGACCACAGATATTCACTCTGCAAACCTTCAGATTCTTCATCAGTGAATCACTGATCGACAAAACAAGCTTGATGAATGTTTTAATAAAACTATCAGAGCTGAGTTTCTGTCAGGTTGTTGTGTCTTGGTTCCAAATTTAAAAAATGGTGACATTTAAGGTTTTAGTTGTTTTCAAAGGAATGAGTCTAAACATCCAAAACTGCAAAAAAGGGTGAAAAAAGAAATGCAACTTGATTCCATCCTAGCTTCACAGAAACAGTAACTGCACATTTAATCTGATCATTAAATAATAAAATCAGTTTGACTTCCACTCACCAAGCTCAGGAGGACCTTCTTCATCAGTTTTGGACACTCTTCTCTCTCCCTCTTCACTCAGGCGTGCAGCCTGGAGGCTTTCATTTGTTGACTCTCTGTTGCTTCTCGTGAGCTCTGTGGGTCTGCCTGCAGGAAAAAGGCTCCCAGTCGAGGTCAGATTTGCACCAGGAGCCGCCGTGGATCTCCCCGTGGACGTGTCGTCAGCAGTGAGGCTGTGGGTGAGGATGAAGAGGGTGAAATGTAAAAGCAGGAATGCAGCCATGGTGAGCCTCATGTCAAAGAGCTCAAACACTAAAGCTGCTGCTGTCGAGCTCTGTCCTCTGAAAACTGCTTCCTTCCACTCACACTCATTTGGAAATTAAAATAAAACTGGTTAAAGTTGGATTTTAAAAATAAAACATGAAATTTCATTTGCTTCTCCACAGGAGGAAAAAAAACCTTCATTTTTTTCATTTAATTTCAAAAATATAAAAATGTCAAAACCAGCAACAATTTCTTTAACAAACACTAAAGTCATTTATCATACTTTGTTATATTCTGATAAGATGTTTTATAGCAGAGAAAATAGATAATAAATTCAGAACTTTTAAGTTCACATCTCTGCTTAGAACCAACTTGGGCTTTTATTTTGAAATCCACACTAACAGCCTCTTCTTTCAGTGAAAAAAATTGACACCCCTCTGTTTCTGAAGAGCAGCTCCTCACCAGAAAACATGTTTGTTTTGGATTGAATTCCATCAAGTCTACACTTTTATTTGAAAACTAAAAGCTGATTTTGGCTTTTTTTTTTTTTTTGTGGCAAACATCTAAACTTTTTTCAAAAACTTCTTCAAAACTCCTGAAACTGTTTGTAAGGAAACATGTTGGCTTGTTGTGTTTGAAAAACAAACTGAAGTACATTCAATTTCAGTAGAGTCTGAGATTTGTAAAAAAGAAAAATAAAATGGAACTAAATCAGGAAAATACGGAAGAGGATTAGGGCCACTGAAAAATAAAAAAAGAAATTCTGACTTTAATCTCAGAATTCTGACTTTAATCTCAGAATTCTGACTTTAAT